TGGGAAGAGAAGGAAGGCCTGGACCCACCATCAGTCACCTGACTTTCACCCTGAATCCAACACATGCCAGGCTGGGTGAGGGAACTGCTGTGACAGTGGTGATATGAACAAGGTCTGGCTGTGCCCCTGGCTGTGTGACCTACCGAAAAATCACTCCACCTCTCTGAGCCTCAGAAATAACAGCTACTATGGACCAAGCTCTCCTGTAAGTCCTGCTTGCCATTCAGTTTCAGGCTGTGGCTTTTGAACTTGGACCAGGTGGGTCAAATCCAGGCTCTCTACCCTCTTCACTCAGTGTGCAGGCACCCCAGCCTCGAGTCTCAATGTTATGGGGTCACACCATCTCTTGGGGTCTCAGACTTGAACACTTTCCAGAGGATGATGCATGGGAACGCCCAGCATGACCCTGACACAGGGCAGATGTGGGGACCCCCACTCCAGGAGTGTCCGCCTGCAAGGTAGGGTGCCTGACCCCTGCCCTTCACACCCACCCACGACCTCCCCATCTCAGGAGCTGGACACCCCCACTCCACTCTCCCTGCTCCCCCGCCTGGCTTCTGCCTACTGTTTGCAATTCTGAGGGGCGGCCAGTTGGGCAAGAGTCACCTCAGCTCAGCATGGTCATGACCTGAGCCCTTGCAGGTACCTCCTTCATACCTGGCCTTCCCCCAGCTCTGTGTGTGTGTGTGTGTGTGTGTGTGTGTGCACGCATGTGCCAGTCCTGGGGCTTGAACTCAGGGCCTGGGCACTGTCTCTGAGCTTCTTTGCTCAAGGCTAGTGCGCTACCACTTGAGCTACAGTGCCACTTCCTGCTTTTTAGATGGTTCATTGGAGATAAAAGTCTCACAGACTTTACTGCCCAGGCTGGCTTCAAACTGCAATCCTCAGACCTCAGTCTCCTGAGCAGCTAGGATCACAGGCATTGTGTCTGGCTTAGGTTTCCTCTGTAAGTCTGCTTGGAACAGTCAGATTGGAAAGTTCTTCCAACTGGACAATGCAGTTGGTACTTTTTCCTAAGGGCACAGTTAGGGGGTAGGCTGGGGCCGCCATGCACCTGTGGAAGCTAGTAGGGTGTGACCATCTCCTCCCCAGCTTTGCCTGCTTGGTGAACCACACCATGGGTGACTCTGGGCCATCTCAGCCTCCCGCCAAGCAGGCAAGAGCCACAGTGTAGTGCTGTTGGTACAGTACAAGTCCTCACTCCTGAATTAGCTCCATGATTTGACACATCCCTCTTGGACAAGACTGTCATCACCCTATTTTACAGAGGAGGAGACTGAGACATGGGCCCCTGAGTCGTGTGTGTGGTGTGACTAAGTGGAAAACTTAGATTCAGACCCAGCCTTGTACCAGGCTCCAGAGCTATGCATGCAATTGCAGTTCTGCTCCGTCTTCCAGGCATCCTCTGCAGACAGGGCCCTCGAGAGGGAGGACAAGAGGCGCAGGAGGAGCCATGCCCATTATGTACTTGAGAATTCACCAGGGTCCTCCTTCAGCCTCTTATCAAAACCATCCCACTTCCCCACGCGGTGAGGTCGGCCTGTCGCACTCCAGCCTGCGGCTCTTCCACAGAATGCGGAAAGAGCATCTCTCTCCTCTCTGTAGGGCCTCGGGAAAATAAAGGTCAAATCTCAGCTCTGCCTCTCAATCTCTGTGGGTCAATGTCAGTCCTGTGTCCTCTGGGGACCTCAGTTTCCAACTGAACAGAGTGGGGGAGGGGCTGGAGGGCTATTAAGGCACTCCTCACATTCACATTCTAGAATCTTGCCAGGCGTTAATGGCTCCAGCTTGTATCCCTAGCTGTATAGGAGGTGGAGAACAGGAAGATCAAAATTCAAGGCCAGCCTGGGCAGACAGGTGAGTGAGGCTCCTTCTGAACCCATTGCTGGGCACAATGGCATGCACCTGTCATTCCAAGCCACATGGGAGGCTGAGATCGGGAGGATCATGATGCCAGGCCAGCCTGAACAGAAAACGCTGTGAGACTCCATCTCAACAGAGGGCGGCTGGACATGGTGGCACATACCTGTGAGCCCACAAATGATGACAGGCCTAAAGTAGGTAGATCACACCTGGTCTGGAAGTAAAAGGCCCTACCCTAGAAATAAGCAGGGAAAAAATAGGGCTGGTGGCCTGGCCCAACTGGCTAAACAAGTGTGAGGCCTTGAGTTCAAAATCCCAATACTACAAATTAAAAACAAACAAACAAAAAAACCTACTCACAAAACCCTAGAATCTAGCCAGGCTCACACCTGTAATCCTAGCTACGTAGAAGGCTGAGATCTGAGGATCGTGGTTCAAAGCCAGCCTGGGATGGAAAGTCCATGAGACTCTTATCTCCAATTAACCACCAGAAAACTGGACATGGCATTGAGGCTCAAGTGATAGAGTACTAGCCTTGAACTGAAGAGCTGAGAGACAGTGCCCAGGCCCAGAGTTCAAGCCCCATGACTGACAAAACACAACCCTAGACTCTTGCTTTGATCACATTTTGGAAAGAAAGCTCTTTGATGGAGGCAGAGGAGCGGATCACACAGTGTTCTGCCAAAGCAGACCAGGTTGAGCCCCCTGCCCTGGGCACACAGCGTGGTCGTGGTGGACTGTCACTGTGGCTCCATGCCTTTGATCACCTGGGGCCACCCCTTCTCTCAGAGGCTGGGCCATGTCTCAGGAACCCAGGCTGTGGAGCAGGTTCACTGGTGGCCGCTCTGCCAGGTGTACAGGGACGATGCTGGGAATTCCATTAGCATCCTGGCCTCAGGAGCTCCCAAGCTAAACAATGTTGTCTGCTGTTCCACCTTCCTTAGTGGCCTGGTAGACCATTCCTGTATGCCAGGGGCTCCCCTGCTGTCCCCGACACCATCCCCTAGCACAAACTGCTGCAGTCCCACCGTGTGGGCAAACCTGGCCAGGCCACAGGATGCCATGGCGCTATCTATGGTCTGTGAAGGGTCAGGGGAGGCCTTGACCTTGTCTTGACCGACTGGAGTTGAGTGGGGGTCTCAGCGAGTACGCTCAGCACGGTTGCCGGGCAACATGGACTGATGGCCCAGTCCACTTCTGCCTGGCTAGGAGCAGACATACCAGTCTGACTCCTGCAACCCTGTGCTGGCTCTTGGCTAAGTTCATTCTGGGCTGGCCTCAAAGCAAGTAAGCATGGTCATGCCCCCTAAATGCTCCCAAATGTAAACCACAGGCCTGTCCCTCAGCAGCTGTGTAAGGCTGGCTGGTCCTAGCACCTCAGTGGGCCTCAGTGTCACCATCTGTATACTGGGTTAACAGCACCTGGCAGGACCACTGCAGCAGCTGTTCCAGAGGTGTGTTCTCCCCTTCCCCCCTTGGAGGGGCTGGGGGTCCCCTGTCTCTTCTCTGAGGGGCACAGGACTCACACTGGGCCCTGCTAGCAGGCTGGACAATATTGCTGGGGTCAGGGTGGGGCCTGATGACACCTGGCCTTGTGGGGTTTTACACTGGGTGTGTCCAGGGAGTGGCCACAGGGGGGCAGCCCCCTGGGTCTATGCTTCCTCTATCAGGAGAAAAGGAAGATAAGGTGGGAATGAGCCCTGGAATCAGCCTGGGGTTCAAATGCTCCTACTGGATGTCAGATTGGGTCAACGTGTTCATCTTCTTGACCCTTAGCTACCCCATCTCAAAAGCAGGGACTCAAGAGCACTGCTCCAGTGACCTGTAACACCGATGTTGGATGTAAAGGTCACATCCTAGTTACCACAGGCAAAAGCAGCTAGGTGAAGACGAGCCAGAGCCAGCATGGCCAGACATGGACTCTGCCAGGTCCATCCACAAGTGTGGAAAAGCCCTCAGGGAGGTTTAAGTGGGAGGATCTCTCCTTCTGGAGAGAAGCCCCCATGTCCACCAGCGATGCTGAAGGTCACATCGAATATGAAAGGGACCGTGCGCCTCCCGCTGCATGCATTATGCATGAAAGAGCAGACGCGGGTACTCACGACTCATAATTTGAAACACCCAGAGACTAAAGATGTTGGCCAAATTTAAACCGAAAGATGAACTTGTTGGGTGTCTTTTCAGATTACGGGGGACAGGAGAGAATTCCTGTTTGTTCAGATCCACTCAGGATTCATGGAGAGTCTCCCTAACAGCTGACATTGGAGGGCTCTGCCTCACCATTTAGCATGTTTGAGGTACAGCGAAGACCCCCGCACAGCCCAGCCAGGGGAGCCAAGGCAGGGCAGGGTGGCATCGCAGGGAGGAGACTGGGACAGGACTGCCTGGCACCCACAGCCACTGTGGGCAAAATCAACTCAGTCCCAGCACAGGTACACAGGAAGTGCTGGCAGCCATTTTGCTTTCTTTCTTAAACATATCTGGTCTGAATTCCTTTTGTTCTAGTAACCTTGGAACCACTGGAGGATGTGGTGACTACTAAGCAATAGTCCTCTGACTCTTACAGAACCTGGGAGGCAGAGGGGTGCTGTTACGCCCTGTTCACAGATACAAAAAGCAAGGCTGAAGGAAAAGGGTAACTGATCCAGGGTCACAGTCCCTAAATGGCAGGGTCAGAACCGGACCTTGGGTCTTCCATGTTACTAAAACACTTTCACTGTCTCCCCATTATGAAGCTACACTCTGGGTTCACAGGGATCCTGCCTGGCCTGGTTACCAGCAGAACTCAGGCCTGCTTCATGTACAGCACAGAGCAAGCCTCCTGGCACTGAATGCCATGGATCACTGGTGCGTGGAAACAAGCCCTCTCACCGGAGAAGGCTCACGTGGGCACATGCAAACCTGGCCAGGGTCCTTGACCCAAGGACCTCATCAGAGCTGACATGTGGGGTCACTGGGCTTCAAAGGTTATTCTGAGGTGACTTGATCAGATTCAAAGGCCACCAACCCCTAGTACAGTGCTACTTCTGGGCACGTGGCCTGCCCAGGCCCATAGCCGCTGTTCCCGTCACCAAATGGCAGGGGGCACTGAATGCTGGACCCACCACCATGCCTCTCCTTTGAAGTGCAGCTTGTGTTTCACAAAGAGACATTTATTGTTTGTTTTCACCATTAGAACTTCCTTTACAGCATCATGGAGTAGAGCCCAAGACTTGGCCGTAGACACCGGAAGCACACTGACAAGTCAACAAGAGACCACAGGCCACAGCAGGACTGCACAACCCAGCAGGGCTGGGGCCAAGAACTCCAGGATGGCCCCTGACAAAAGTCTGGGGTGGAGGGTAGGGGGAACGGGGGAAAGCTGGGCAGGGAAAGGAAGTCATCCTTATGCTGATAAAGACACTCTATGTCCCCTCTCTCGCTCCACATCCCCTCCTGCAGATAAGTGTATGGATTCTAAGACATGCTGGTGTTTTTCCCAGGGCTGCTCAGGCTGGCTTTAAGAAGCCAGGCTGCTGGGGCTCCTGGGAAGCAGAGCCTCACAGCTTGGCTGTGTTTCAGATGTCGGAGCCCACCAGGGCAGCAGGGAGGAAGGAAAGAGAGATTCTAAAGGAGCTTGCCGCTGGGATCGGGGCAGTGTGGGGAAAGAGCAGCGTGATGCTTACAGAGTCTAAGTTTTGTCTCACCCTAAGCAGGAAGGAGCAGACTTCCAACACTGGCATCTTCTGGGAAACTGGCAGCAAGATAGATAGCTGGGCACAGAGGCCTGCACCAGTGCTGTGAGGAAAGGCACCAGATGGCTTGTTATGAAACACATTTTGGTCAGAAAATAGCTGGAGTTTTTTGGTTCGTGGGAGAACAAAGCTAGAAGAAAAGGAGGTGTGAGCTGGGAGAAAGCAGCTTTGGCATCAGATGTAAGTTCTGCTCTCAACTCCACCCCTCTGTGCCCGGGGCCTGTTTCTGTAGAAAAATGGCTGTGAAATATATGGACACAAACCCGGGCTGTCGGGGGGGGGGGGCAGGGATGGGACTCTCAAGGATGTACAGACAAAACAAGAGCAGGCGTGACCTCACCCATGGGTGGGAAAGGTGGGAAGAGATCCAAGGGTGGAGCCATCACCAGCCGGGATGCTCCCAGTCCTAGACTGGGGCAGGAACACAGGGTCCAGAGCTTGGGGGACCAGTCACAGACTTCTGTGGGAGAAGGGCAGAAAGTTCTAGTCCACACAGCACCATAGAAGAGCCTCAGGGGGTACACCTGCTGGGTATGCTTTAAAGTGCCAAGCTATGTCCTCTTTGGTCAGGGGCTGCCTCTTCAGAGTCCTGGGTCCAGGGCTCAAGCCTGAGCCTGCAGTCTGAGGAAGGAAAGGGTAAAGACCCAGGCTTCTGTAGAGTGAGGGGGGTGGGGGGAGGCAGCGGGGAGGCTCTTCCTGTGCCCAGAGCACGCTGGAATTCTGACTGCCCTTTAGTACAGAGTGGGGGTGTCCCAGGGAAGTCCATGTCTTACAAGAGGGACAAGAAATGCTTTGGTCACTGTCCTGATACCCACGCACAGAGGGGGCAGGCTCTGGGCTAGAGAGGCAGAGCCTGATGCTGGCCACAGCACTCTACACTCCCCATGCCCAATGCAAAGCTGGCTGCCAGTGTAAGCCAGAAGTCGCTGAATAAATATTCAAAGCATCTTTCAGTTCTTGGAGAAAAAGCAGGTTCAGATCTCTCTTCTCCTGTGACTGGCTGCAGCTTTCATGGGCAGGAAGAGGCTGCTGTGTCCTGGAGCCGGCTCCCATGTTGTGGGTGACTTTGGTCCATCACATGTCAAAGCTGGCACTGTCCTGCTGGCCCCAGGCCCTCAGAAGCTGAAGAGCTCGTCCTGCTCAGTGCCACTGCTGTCAGGCTTGTCCCAGTCGATGGGTGAGAGGCACTGGGCATAATGGATGTCCTGTGCTGACAGCCCCGTGTCCAGGACCTGAGGATTTGTCCGAGACTGCGCCAGCCTGGAAGGCAGAGCTGTGTGAGCTGAGCCCCTGAGTGAGGGGCTGGCAAGGAGCCAGAACAGCCTGGCCAGCACCATAGCCAGAAGGAAGAGCAGAGTTGGGGGTAGGGGAGGAATGGCCAAACCCAGGGCCAAGAAGAAAGTCTAAGATGACAGGGGGTGGAGCCTCTAACCAATGGAGAGTCAAATCCATGGAGCAGGCAGTAAGCACACCCACCCGGGGACAGACCTGGTCTGGAACTGCCCAGGAGGGAAGTCAGCAACAGGTGGTCAGGAACTGGCCTAGCCACAAGCAGTCTTGACTGCCAAGTGTGTTTTAAAAAAAAAATATCTAGATTGTGGACACAATCTACGTGCACAATAAATGACGAGCACCTCCTCAGGGGGAGGGCTCACAGGGGTACGAAGCCGGAGACAGGCTCTGGCACCCTGTGCCAGGTACAAGCAGGATCCCCAAAGGCCAGGGCAATGAGTTGATCCAGGCCAAGTAACATGCACGTGAGGGATTAGCACAAATCACGTCCCAGTCCCAGTGTGGGATTATAACACCGCCTTATTTTCTGTTAAGGCTCTGCTGATTTCGGAAATTGTTAATAAAGGGCACATGATACTTGAGCTGAACCAAGCCCAATGGAAGGGACAAGGCCCAAAGAAAGGCCAGGCCTAGAAGCAGCCCACGTACAGGGAGACAATGAGCTTGAGCTGCAATGTTCAGTTCCGCCCTGAAGTGGCTGTGTACCCAAGAGTAGCTTCTGATATAACAGCAAGAGCTTTCTAAGCCCCCTGGAGGGGTTCCCTCCCCAATAATTAGCCCCACATCTCCACGCAAGTGAAGGGGGGCTGGTGTTGGAGGTGGCCTAGTGCCTCATGTTCTCAGCATAGCAAAAGCACTGCAAGGGAAGGGAGGAAGAGGGCCAACTTGAGGCCTGTGGTCCCAGCACAAGTTACCTGGAGAATGCTTCATCCAGGCCATCGTCCAGCTCCTTGGGGAAACAAAGCAGGAGTCAGGAGGAGTGCTGCGTGGGGACCCATACTCTCCATGGGGGCCTATCTCAGCTCTCAATCAACTATGGGGAGGTAGGACACTTACACAAGTGCCCAGAGGAGCAGACACAAGCAGGCCTCCTGCCTCGCTGCCACCACCATCCACACAGCCATGAGCCCAAGGCTGGGTATAAGGGCTGGGAATGTGGCTTAGTGATAGAGTGCTTGCCTAGCATGCATGAAGCCCTGGGCTCCATTCCTCAGCTCCACATATACAGAAAAAGCTGGTAGTGGTGCTGTGTTCAAATGGCAGAGAGCTTATCTTGAGCAAAGGAAGATCAGGGATAGTGCACAGGCCCTGAGTTCAAGCTCCAGGACTGGCACAAAAAAAAAAAAAAAAAAAGCTGGAAAAAGCATGGGCATATCACAGGCCTCTAGAAACCTGAGTGGGTTCGACTCCCAGACCTGGGGCAAATCACAGAGCTTCTTTGAGACCCAGTTTTTCCTTCCACAAAATAAGGGATCTGATTTCCATGGCTTTCAGACCCCCAAAGGGAAAAAGCCAGAGGAAGATGTCTGCCCTTACTGACTTCCAAAACTAGTCAAAATCCCAAAGATGGAATCCTAGCCCTTGGGAGGCTGACACAAGGCCCAGCTAGGCTACACAACAAGGCCCTATGTCAAATAAATGAACAAATAGAAAAGCCAGATGCTTTGCTCACAGGCGATAACCCTAGTTAAGACCTCACAGCCTCAGGCCCAAAGCAATGGGCAAGGTCCTTCCTTGGCCCCCACAGGTAGGTGAGCAACTACAGGGTGGTCCCTAGATAGTAGAGGTTTGAGGGGCACCCTGGTTGCCCCAACAGTCCAAAAGCCTTCCATGTTCTAGATTTTTAGAAATTAGAGAGCTACAACAAATAAAATGTAATGGATGCTGGACTGGAAGGACACAGGAAGCATGAGTGGAGAAGGGTGGGGAAATAATACAGATTCCCTGTCATTTCCATGTTAATTTCCACGTTAACCCTGGTTTGGAAGATATGAATAACAGAGAACTTGGATGAAGGGTGCACTGGAATTCTTTGTACTATTTTTATAACATAATCTGAAATTACCTCTAAAAAAATTACAATTAAAAAAAAAAACAAAAACCCTCAGGTTCGGGTGGAGGTTAGTCACCCTCTTACTAAAGGACGCAAAAGCTGAGACACAGAGAGGTCAGTGACTTGCCCTGGGTCAGAGGGAGGCAGGGACCAAGCAGACAAGTGTCTGAGGCTGTGGATCTGCATTTAGATGGCTCAGCAGGGTGGGTGTCAGGCACAACTCTGCCACACCAAGAACAAGGGAGCCTTTGGCTGGTTCTGTGCTGGGCAGTGCTGTGGAGGCTCAGGCTAAGAGGCCAGGCATTGTAAGAAGACAGCTGTGCTGGAAGCCAGGCCTGTTAGGGACACAGCCCCGAGTTCAAAGGCCACATTGTTCATCCCCCACCCTGGGCTTGGGTGCTACTGGGCTAGGTCTAGTCCTCCCAGAGGCCCACAAATCAGGAGCTGCCTGAGGCTCATCCAGAGATCTACCCAAGGCTCATTGGATTCTGTGGGGTCCCCATACTCCCATTGGGCTACTTACTCACCCAGACAACGTTGTTACTGCTCAAGGCTTGGGGCCGTGGTACCTCATCCATGTTGGTGGTGTTGGCGCTAACTGTGGACAAAGGGGCCTTGGCCGATTCTTCGAAGTCTAGCAGGTTCCCGGTGGCAACCGCTATGAGGTCAGGCAGAGTACCAGTGGGACATGAGCTCTTTCTCTTATGGCCCCATCAGGGAAACCCTAAGCTATTCAGGCCCTAACTCCCTCTTCAGACCTGGCCTTGTCCAGGCCTAGGACAGAGACCACCCACGTCCCGCCTCACCTCCGAGCCTTTGGACAGCTGTCCATAAAGAAATGATCTGTCTTTGCTGAGATCTGATAACACAACTCTTATGTTCATAACAGTTGCTGAGTTTTTTGGTGGTTTTTTGTCGTTGTTGGTGGTGGTGGTGATCGTGGGGCATGGGCTCTGTCCCTCAGCTCTTCAGCTGAAGGCTAGTGCTCTACCACTTGAGCCACAGAGCCACTTCCAGTTTTCTGGTGGTTTACTGGACATAAAAGTCTCATGGACTTTCCTGCCCTGGCTGGCTTTGAGCCTCGATCCTCAGATCTCAGCCTCCTGAGTAGCTAGGATTACAGGTGTGAGCCACTGGCACCCCACTTAGTTGCTGAGTTTTAAAGAGAGTGCACACAGGACAGGAAGTGCACAGAGATGATTCATACATTTACATGGATGTACAGTTTGAATAAACATGCATGCAAGTGAGTATTTTGTTCCTTGTCTATATTTCCTATTTTCTTACCTATAACGTCTGTGTTACTGATTTAAGAAGAAAACAATAAAACACCCACGGGTTTGCCCCAGCCCAAAAGGAAGGAAGCCCAAGGAAGGGCCCCTCCCAGGGCCAAGACTCACAGCTTTTCAATGAGGGGCTGCTGTCATGGTGGGGCCCCAGGATGTCTGCTCCTTCCTGGCTGGCTTTTTCTCTCTTCTCTTTCTCTGTGGGAATCAAGACACAAAATGCAGGAGCCTCAGCCCTGACATTCTGTCTTCAAGCAATCACTTTGCAGGGGCCCAACTGCAGCCAATCCCAGGGGGCAGTTTTCAACACCCTGTGGATGTCACACAGCCTTCACTTGTCCTACGGGAGGGAGATGGCTGCTGTTCTAACAGATGGGAAAACTGAAGGACAGGTAAGGGACCTGCTCGCAGTCACAAGCCTGGTAAGGGGCCAAGGTTGGGAGCCAGCCCAGGTGATGCCAAGCCTTTATCTGTCTCCCCTCAACCCCCTTGATGGAATGAAAAAGACTCACCTTCCTTGGACACTTGCCAGAACTCGAAGGCAACTTTGAAGGCCTGGGCTACAGTGAGGGTGACAGCTTGAGCCTGAAAAACAGGAAGTTGGGGCAGGCAGGGGCTGGTGTCAGCTGGGGGAAAAACTTGTCTGAACAGAGGGCTGGGGACTCCCTCCTGGCAGTTCCAGGGCTCCAGCCCAGGCTGGGGAATGCCAGGTGCATGGAGGCGGGGCAGGGCTCCTCCCACAGCACCTGGAGCAGACATGCTTAAGTAAGCCATATTGGGGCAGGGTGGTGAGGCCCATCTTTACCACCATTAACCCAAAGTCCCACTCTCATCCCAGCCCCCCACAGCTGTTCACCTCCACTTCTTTGCTTCCCTTTGAGAGTAAACCAATTATGTGTGGGGCTTACTTCCTTCAAGAAGGCCTCCCAGATTATCTGAGGACTCCAGACACTAAGTGAGCCCTTGGAATTGGAGAACAGAAAAACTGAGATCGGAAGGGCCCCATCACTGCCTGAAGAAGCCACAGCCAGAGGGGCCACAGGTAGGCTCTGTTTAGGACTGCTCAGGTTGGAGGGGCTGATAACTGGAACCAAGCAAGGGAGGGGAGTGGCTAGCAAATCTTCCAGGAACAGGATATCAGTCATTAAGTGCCAGGAACCAAATCCATTCCGCACAGTAACCAACCTGCAGGAAGTAAGGACATGCTGGCCCTTTAATGCCTGAGGAGTCCATCCATGCCTTCAACCCCCACTTGAACATACCACTCCTCTCCTGCCATGGGTGTGGAGTTCTGGTACCACCCAGATCAAAGTGTCCGGATCTGTGGGTCTGCATACCCCATTCCCAGGGCAGACTGAGGCCCCTCAGTGCTGGCTCAACTGCACCTGGCCTCCTGCCAGCCAGGCCTTTCCCCAGCCCATGTCTATTTCCATACCTCCCTCCCGGAGGTTCCAATGCAGGGTTAACCGGTGCAACTCCAGCTGCAGCCGGAAACACCACTGAGATTCTTCCTGCAAGCCCCGGGCAAGAGAAGAAAGCACTAGACTCTTTCAAGTGCACAAGGGCAGGCCAACCAGCCTCAGTCTCATCTCCTCCCCTATGCTAGACAGCTCAATTCAACTGAGAAATGAATCTGTGGCCATTGCTGCTTTCAAAACTCTTTTAAAAACATTAAAAAAAAAAGATTTAAAATTCCCAAACAAGCTGACTGATCTGTGCCAATTAAACTTCACGAAGTATAAAAATCTCATTTGAATGTCTCCGTCATTTACATCTTTGATGGAAGTTCGGGTGCTTTATGGCAAAACTTAAATATGGTAATTAAGTATGAAACTCTTCACAGCTGTTTACAATTTAAGCTGTCACGTCTGAATCAAGTTTAATAGACCCAGTTACCATTGAGAATTGCCCATGAACTAAAAATATGGGCTAATTACCAGCCTGAGCCAGATTACTGTATACCCAGCAAGCACTGGTCATCCAATGTGGCAGGGTTATGGGAACAACATTATTCTTGCCTGCAGGAAACCTGGGGACACAGGCTTATAGTGTTTTTGCAGAAATCTGCTGGCTCATTTGCATACATTCCAGCCCCTCAGCCCTGACATCCTAGGCTGTGAGTTAAACCAAATACAACCTGAGATGAGCTGTGTAGTGTGCAGGTGGCTACAGGACTAGGCTGGGCAGGGACTTGGAGGTGGGCCCAGCTCGCAGCCACTGCAGGAATCTGTCCCTCGGCATTAGCTGGAAGGAGGGCTCACAGCCCAGGCAAGTCTTTGCTTCCCTAATCCCCAGCCAGGTGCCCAGCCCTCCTGAGGTTCCTCTGGCTGAGTCTGTATTATTACTCTGACCAGTTACCATCTGACCAGGTTGTGTGTGTCTCTTGTTCCCAGTAACCAGACTATTTTTGACAGCACCAGGATTTGAATTTGGAGCTTTCTGCTTGCTAGGCAAGTGCTCTACCCATTGGGCTATGCCTCCATTTCTTTTTGCTAGTTTTTGGGGGGTTGGGTTTTTTGTTTTGTTTTGTTTTTTGCCTCAGCCAATGTGGACCCTGATCTTCCTGTTTTACATTTGCAGTTATAGCTGGGATAACAGACATCCCACCATGTCCAGCATTTTCCTGTTGAGCTGGGATCTCATGAACTTTTTGCCCCAGCAGGCTAGGAATGTCAATCCTCCTGATCTCACCACTCATGTAGCTGCACAATCACTGGGTTCTTCACCCCTCAGAGGGAGCCCCGCTCTCACATCAAACCAGGTTCGTGCTCCCTATTGGAGCTGAGGTACAAATCCTGCACAAGGATTACTCCAGAAACAGAGAGCTTCATGGCGGGCATAGCTCTGCCTCTTCGCAAGCAGAACTAGAGTATCCGGGCCCCAAGAGTCTACGTAGTGATGCTGAGCTCCCCACTTTTAGTGCTGGCTGACGCCTCAGGCTTGAGCAGAAGCGAACAGTTCTTTGCAGGGAGCCTTCTACAACCAGGCCCATCAGGACTAGGGAAGAGAGGCCTGAGTGGGTTGTTCTGCCTCAATCTGGGGCTAAATGAGGGTGACCTGGGAAGGAGCTTGTTGGCTGAGCTTTGATCACAGGGTTCATACCTCCTAAGCAAGCACTCTACCACTTAAGTCACACCCCCAGCCCTTTCTGTTTTAGTTTATTTTCATATAGGGTCTCAAGATAACTTTGCCTGGGCTGGCTTCCGATGGTGATCTTCCTAATGCTACCTAGTAGCTGGGACTGCAGACATGCATCACCATGCCCAGCTTTCCACACTTCCTGCTCACTCCAGCAAGGAGGTGTGGGATGTAGAGACTCAAGTTGTGAAGGCTGAAGAATTGGGGGTGAAGTGCTTTGCACACGGGATCTCCACACTAGCCTGCACTCACCGCTCACCGCCCACCCCCTTGGCTTGGCACACTCCTGCTGATGTGTACTCTGATATGTATGCTGATATGAACTTCAAGGACTCTGCTCTGGAAGTCTTCCTGACCTGTGGAAAATTTCATAATCTCTGACCAGCTCAAGCTCCTGGGTCCAGTTACCAAGGCTAGGCCCTTCCCCTCGACTTGTATGGCTGCTCAGGTTCCCCACTGCCCATCACAGGGCCTGGTCCAGGACAGGGGGCCTACACATCTCTAGAGGCTCACTAGTGGATGAGCGTACTACTCAAGGCTCTCATCTCATCTCTGCCCACCAGAAAGTCTGCGAAGTCCTGAGAACCCCCAGGTTCCCAAACAGGGCTAGGCCACAAGGTCAGCCACACACTGCCAGCCAGGGGAGGCACTAGGCAGTGTACCTGCACCACTCTGGGCTTGGCTGTCTCTCAGAAGAGCTCTCCAGTGATCCTGAAGCACAGAGGCTGGGGAGAGAAGGATGCAGCCCAGGCAGTCAGCCCCTGACCACAGACAGGCTGAGAGAGTGAAGAGCTGGGTGTTCGGTAGGAACCCTGCCCCCTACTGACCAGGGGCCAGCAGCCAAACAGTAGCTGGGCTTTATTTTCCTCAGCAATTGCCCTCTGGCCTGGGGACAGACTGAGCTGGCTCAAGCCTGTCTAAAGTCCTCTGGCCAGGGCAGGCCTCCCTCTGAATCAAGCTGGCTCCCTTTCTCCTATTCCCAAACCCCCGTCCCAGAGAAAAGCCACAGCATTTGGGAAGGCCTCTCCTACCCAGGCCCCAGCTCTGCAGTGATGGCTGTGGGCCAGCTGCCCTGCCCGGTACTTGCTCCCATCAGTGGGGAAGAAGAGATGAACAATGGGGACATGATGAGCTTTGTATTTTAAGTCCCCGTGGCCTCATAAGAGACACCACTAAGTCACTGTAGGAACAGGCTGTCACAGGAGAAGCCACTGCAGCTCAAGGCCCTGGGCAATCATGAGATCCCAGATGAGTAACAATGACATTCAATCTACAGGACAAACAGGAGATGTGCAAAATGCTGGGTGCAGGTGGCTCATGCCTGTAGTCCTAGCTACTCAGGAGGCTAAAATCTGAGGATCATGGTTCAAAGCCAGCTGGGACAGGAGTCCATGAAATCCAAGAAAATTCTTATCTTCAATGAACCACCACAAACCAGAAATGAAGCTGTGGCTCAAGTGGTAGAGTACCAGCTTTGAGTGAAAAATCTAAGCTAAGGAAAAATCTAAGCCCAGGCCCCAAGTTCAATTACAGCCACCCTGCTCCCACCCCCGCTCCCCCCCCCCATACACGTAGAGGTAGGCAAAAGAAATGGACCTTTCAGAAGGATCCTAGAAGTGGTAGGCAAGCAGCCCAGGGAAGGATTTTAACCATAGTCACACAGCAGCACTTCAGCCGTGACCATACCCCTGGGCTGACTCCTACTCCATGACACATGTGCACAGGCTGAATCTCAGCTGTGAGTGCTCACAGACTCATCCTGGAACCTGTGAATGTTACCATACATAGCAAAAGGGCTTTACAGGCAAGATTAACTTAAGGATCTTGAGAAGGGAGATTATCCTGGATTACCCAGTGGCCCAATGTCATAGCAGAGGCCTTGAGAGGAAGCAAGAGTCAGAGAGAAATAGTCAGATGACTGTGGAAGCAAGACTGGAAGATACAACATTGCAGGCTCAGAAGACAAGGAGGAGGCCATGAACCAAGGACTGCTGCTGGTCTCAGAGGGGAGGAAGGCAAGGAAATGGGTTCTCCCTAGAGCTGCCAAGAGAAACTACCCTCCTGGCAGGGTGGTTTTCTGGGACCACTGACTTCCAGAACTTGTAAGAGAGAAAATCCATGCTGTTTTAAGATACTAAATTTGTGTTAATTCTTAGGGCTGCCCCAGGAAACATTCACAATATCTAAAGCTGCCCTGCTAAGGAACTGAAAGCCTGGGGGCCACAAAGACTGTGATAGTCTTGATTTGTCCTTTGATAAGGGAACAGAGAACATTTTAACTCCCTGTCTTCAAGAAGCACAGGGCAGAAGGACTAGGCTCTGAGTTGTTCACATTGTGAACAAGAAATCAATCAATATCTTCCCTGAAAGAGAAGATGCTCAGATCTCAGGGGCCTGGGAAACAAAGCATCAACACCAAAGGCTGACTCACCAGTCGTGACAAAGGCCAGGGCCCACCAAAGTCTTTGGTAGGCTTTTCCTAGCCAGATGAGATGGAGGGGCGGGGGGAGGTGGCCTAGAAATGGAAGGAAGCTCTTGGCCTCTTGGCCCTAAGTTCTTAAAGTTGAGCACTGGAGTTGGCATAAAAAGGTACCATAGCCAGGCACTAGTGGTTCACGTCTGTAATCCTACCTACTCAGGAGGCTGAGAACTGAAGATCATGGTTCAAAGTCAGCCCAGGCAGGAAAGACCGTGAGACTTTAATCAATAAACCACCAGAAAACTGGAAGTGGTGCTGTGGCTCAAGTGGTAGAGCACTCATTTTGAGCTGGAGAGCTCAGGGACAGCACTCAGGCCGAGTTCAAGCCCCACAACTGACAAAAAAAAAAAAGGTACCACAATAGTCACTTGTCCTTCCCTGCCTCATAGTAATTCCTCATCTTTGCCCCTTCCTTGATACTTCTGACTTCCCACCTCTGAGAACTAATCTGTGAAAAGGGCCATACCCCCTAGGCTGTACTAATCATGGAGATCCAAAGTAACTTCAAACTTAACAAATCTGTTACAGAGAGGGAAGGATGCTGCCCACAACAGCCTATCTAACTGAGTACCACCTGCCTGCTCGCCTCCCAATACCCCTGGCTCTCAGCACCCACTGGAGAATCCCAGGGACTTCATTCTTTTTGAAAAGTGACTGTTAGTTTTGGGTCCTGCCATCTGGACCACCCAGGCCCCCAAGAGTAGGCTGTGTTCTTCCCACTGACCATTTTCCGCTTGGTACAAAGAAAGGCATGGCATTCAAGATTCTCGCTGTGTTGGCTCTGGGCAATGTAGGCAAACACCTTGTCATGCATCTTGTCTGCTGTGCAGTAGGAGATCCTGAAAGGCAAGCAGGAAGTGTCATCACACCTGGCACGTGCACTTGATCTCATCTAGCATCTCTCAGTTCCAGAGAGCCTGTTGTCTCTTCTCCACTAGGGGCAGGGGTAGGGGAAAAGAGGGTAGATCTGGCCTTGGCCACCAGGCCTAGCATCCTGGGCCATCTATAGAGCAAGGATCCAGGCCAGGGAGGAGGGACTGGTGGTGAAGGAAGGCACTTTCCCCTGTTTCCCTCTCATGCCATGTCCCCAAACACAGCTGAACCCTGTGCACTAGGCAATGTATCAAAAGCTTTATAGACACTGCCTCACTAATTCTAGAGCAACCCTCTGAAATAAGCTCTATTACTAGCTTGATTTTCAGATGAGGAATTAGGCTAAAGATCTGTGAAAAGAGTAGGTGCCAGAGCCAGGCCTGATTTCATTACCACATTGTGCTCAGGCTCGAAGAGGAAGCAGGATACATTGTGCGTATTGTCCTTCACCTGGGCTTCCCTGCCCAGGTATCAGGTAAAAACCAGGCTCAGCCTTCCCAAGCTCCACAAGTAAGTACTGGAACCATGGCCAGGGATAGAAAGCTGGGACTGGAGCTAGGGATGTGAGTCAGTGACCCAACTGGAGATTCATTGGGCCTGGGGGAGACAGCAGCTCCTCTGCAGGCCACATCCCCAGCCCTCATCTCCACTTCCAACCTCAGTTCCCCAGAGCCCTTGGTCTCTAAGTCCCCACACAGTCAGATGCTTCTACACTCATGAGACTCCCATCTAGGGGCTGGCTGTTGCAGGGGTGGAACAGCTCAGCAGACTTAGCCCTCACCCAGGTGGCTTTGGCTTCAACTGCACTACTTCATTAATGCCACTAAACACCCTCCCTCCCCTGCCCCGTAGACAAAAGTGGGTAGTGCCACATCCCCAGCTTCCTGTTCTCTGGTAGAGGGATCCAGCCATAGCAAGACGCCACCTCCCCTAGGAGCCCTTCTCTGATTTCCCCTGCTGGACTCTGCTTTTCTTGGGAAACACCCTATCTCCTTTCCCTATCTCTCCATTCCCTCCTAGACTGGAAGCTCCAGGAGGGCATAGGCCTCAGTAGAGTAGGTACTTGGAAATGTTAGTGAAGGGAAGTGGGTAGAATCCTGCAGGTGAGAGGAAGGGAGCAGCTTGAAACTCTGAAGCCACCTCCAGCACACATGTATGCACTCTAGCCAGCTGAGCCTCCTGCTTGGAGACAGAACAAGAAAGTGGAAGGATGCCTGGCAGAGGGGATCTGCTGGACAGCACTCCAGCCTGGACTCTACCTCACGACACAGTCTCAGACCACACCCTCCCTTGGCCTTGATTTTTCCATCTGTAAAATGGATCCAGGCTGTCTCAAGGTAGAATCCGATACCAAGCCATGCAAGAAAGGATGGACCCTGCCTTTCTAGCACTGGGGTCCTGCCAGGGGGACCACTCATACTCAAGTTCCAGACCCTGCATGAGCCTCCCTTAGGATGCACAGCCAGCAGTGTTCACAGCAGAAGAAAGAGGCAGTGACTCTGTAGCTCTCTGCTCCCAGCTTGACTCAGCAGTAGACAGAGGCAAGGGAAGCATGGCTGATCCAGGCCTGACCAGGCCTCAGCTGCTGGCCCACTTCACTAAGTGTAACAGCCCAGGAAAGCAGCACCTGCATCACCCCATGCTACAGATGAGGAAACCAAGGATCCATGGTCCCAGATAGAAAGCAGCAGAGCCTAGATTCAGATGGGACACACCAATCACTGCTCCCAGTGACAAGATGGAGACTTGGGCCACCCCATGCTGAGCCTACCTGTATATAGACACATTCTCAATAAGCTGGTTGGTGAGGTTATCAGTCAGGATAATCCCCCGTGGTGACACCTTCAGCGTTACCTTCTGTAGCTTCTTCCCACTGGCCTTGGCCTAGAAGGGAAGATGGGTCAGAGGAACCTGCCTGACCCTCCTTTGTGAGCTGTACCCTACTGTTCCAAAGCCCCAGACTCAGGGTCCATGTGAGATCTCAGTTCAGCCAACTGGCCGGTGCCATTGGCAGGAAATTTGGCCAGCACCTTCTCCAACAAAAAATGGGAACAACTTTTACTCACTGGTACCTGTTACTGCCAAGCTCTGGATGTCATAGGCAGAGGGCCTCTCACCCTCCTCCTTCAGCCCCCCTCCTTCAGCCTGGGAGGAAGTTTGCACACAAGGTAGGGGACCTGCCCCAGGATACATGGCTTGGAGGTAGGATACCAGACTCTGCACTGAGATGATCTCAGTATAGACCTTGTTCTACCCAGTGTGTGCATGCGCGCGCACGCGTGCACACGCGTACACACACACACACACACACACACACACACACACACGGCCTGACCTGCAGTAGAGGTCGTCATGAGGGTAAGTGGATTTAAAGGGCCCCTGCTCCATCACAGCTGAGCAGGGGGCAATCTGGCTGAGAGGTGACAACCTCCCCATGCTTCCTAGCACTCTAAGTCACCAACACTTAGGTTGCAAGTCTGAGCTGGGGGGGTGAGGCAGAAAGCAGCTAAAGAGGCCACTGACCTTCACCCTACCAGTCCAATGGCTCCCCCATCAAAGTCCCTGAGCCTGACAAGGACTCAAGGGCAAGGACAGGCCCAGACATAACCCATCAGGGTTACAAGGCAGGTCTGAGGGACAGCCCAGAAAGAAACTGGCCCTGACTCAGGTGGGCTCCATGTGTCCCCACCCAACCAGGCACTTACCGTGGCCACGATCCTCTTGACAGCTGCGGCTGACAGCTCCTCACCCTTGGGCCGCTCCACAAGTGTCATGCCCAGGTACTTGAGGCTGAAGAGCATGCCCTCAAGCAGCGTCTCCCGGGTATCTGTCCAGTTCTCCGGCAGCTCTGGGTGGGAGAAGGTAGCTCTCAGACCCTGCTGACAGGCCCACTGGCTCTCACCAGCCCCATCTCCCTGGACCACGCCACGAGGGGTGCCAGGTGCCACGGTTCTTCACGCTGGTAATAGAGCTAACTGTTTCCAGAAGGTCCCGGGCACCTGATGAGATGCTTGCGTAAACTTTTCTCTTTGACCTCAGAAGAACCCTTGAGCCAGGTCTGTCATCACCCTTCTGCAGACAGCCATGCCCAGGCAGGAGGCCGACACATGACCAAACTGGGAAAGCCAGTCCATGCCAGGGCCAGGTCTCCGCCATATTTCCAAAGTCAGCTTCAACATTAGCACCTGCCAAGGGCAAATGGTATTTTCCTACCAAACTAGTAGTAGGATTCTATGAGGTGGGTTTGAGCCCATTTTACAGATTAGGAGGAAGTAACTGGAGCAGAGCACAGCGGAGTAAACAGGGAAGGTCCTTGAGGAGACCATGACTAATGTCCGGAGAAATCAGCTTAGCTCAGTGGTGGACTCAGACAGGGAGGCAGGGTGGGAAATGGGCCTCCACCAGGCCCCACCACAGGAGAGGGCACTGAGGAGGCAGAGGGGTGCAAAGGGAGGTCCAGGACCTCCCTTCAGAGGTCCTTCCTTGACAGCTGAGGTCCACTCACTCAGAGGAAACAGTGAAGCTGAGCAGATCAGGTAACCAGGTGTGACCCCAGGATGGATGCACCCTGCATACTTGGCCTATCCTTGTCCCAGCCTCTCCCAGGTGGTGTTCCCATGGACTCTGCCCACTCCACACCACAGGACAGGAGTGTTTCTTTTTTGGGGGGGGAGGGTCCGGCCGTGGGGCCTGAACTCTGGGCCTGGGCGCTGTCCCTCAGCTCTTCAGCTCAAGGCTAGCGCTCTACCAGTTGAGCCACAGCACCACTTCCGGCTTTTTTCTTTTTGCTTATGTGGGGCTGAGGAATCGAACCCAGGGCCTCACGCATGCAAGGCAAACTGAGCCACCTTCCCAGCCCTGACAGGAGTGTTCCCACACACCCTACCCACTCCACACCACAGGACAGGAGTGTTCCCACACACCCTACCCACTCCACAAGAGGGAGACAATGCTTCAGCCTCACATGCAATCTTGTTCAGGACCTAGGCAAGAAGGGGGCTTCCAAGGGCCACCTGCCCTAGGACATCCTGTTCAGGGGCTGGGGCATGCCCTGTGTGCTCTACCGCACAGAGGGAAAGGCCACAGACGTAAGCTCAGGACTGGGCATGGCAGGCTCCAGGCAGCTGAGATCCTGGCAGAGATGTCTCTCTCTTCCCTGATAAGAATTCAGCCTAGCTCTGGAGTCCCAAATGGCTGTATCCCTCCCTCTCCACAGCCAAGAGGAGACTGCAGCCCAGCTCCCTCTGGGTTTGCACTGTGCTCTGAACTGGAAAAGAGTGAGGGAATGGGGTGATATTGGCTGAAAAGAAATGTACCCTTTAGCTGACTTATGTAATTAATCACTCTGTTGATCACCTTCATAGTAACAATAAAAAAATAAAAAGATCTGGATAACCTCATCCCTAACGCTGGCCCAACACATTGTCCTCTAGCCTTCATCCCTCTACTCCAGTGTGAGGCTGGGCTCCCAGTGAGATGACCCTAAAGCCTAAAATGACCCCCATCCTCTGACCCACTGTCATGAGCTTATGTCACCTGCCCTGCCACAAAAAAGCAGCAAGTTTCTGAAGTACTTCCAGTCCTGGGACAGGTAATGGGGGCTCTAGAAAAACTTGGACATCAGCCTTGCTCTCAAAGATGCCAAGACTAAGAGCACCATCACCACTATGCTACCACGAAACAACGATACAGCAGTAATAAAGCAGTGGCTTCTACCATCTCCTCCAATACTCACAGATACAGCAAGCAGACATTCTCTCATCCCCAGGCTACAGATGAAGAAAGTGAGGCTCAATGGACTCGGACCAGAAAACCCAAGCTAGAACAGATGTCCTTATCAAGCACAAGATCAAGTCAAAGATCAGGGAGAGATTCTTGGAGGCATTTCCTCCCATCTGGAATTGGGTTTTCCTAATACCAGAAGCTTCTCTGCAGGCCAGGATATCCAGGCCACCACTGCCAACTTCAGACCTGTCTGCACATAGGTGGTAAAGGAAATACTGCCAAGCCCATCGCCTATGTCCTGGGCAAACATTACTACTCGGCTGCAGCTCTATATTCCCTTTCCAACACAGGGCCCCAGGCAGGCAACACCAAACAATCAGGGGTGGCCTTATGCATCTTCTTATCCATTCCTGCCCCCAAGGCAAACATCCTTCCTCCTCCTATTTTTGTGTTCCCCATTCCCCCATTTCCTCTGGTTCAGCCCTTTCCTGGCCACTTTCCAAAACCACTTCCGCTCCCTTCATTCCTGGGGGGCCAAAGCTTGCCAAGGTCATTGGTGATCTCTTTGCTGTCAAAACATTCTCTATCCTCCTCGACCTTTCAAATGCTTAACATTTTTCTGCATTCCTCCATTCTCTCCCTGCATTCTACCCCTGCATTCTACCAGCTGCTTCAAGACTAGCTGCCACTCATCCGCTTCACAGACTCAACCTTCACTCGTCAGGTAATACAACTGAGGCTCAGAGAGAGATGGGACCTGTGTAGTCATACAGTAAGTTAGATGGGACCTCAATCCCCACAATGACTGTTGGGTCTGTTTTAATTTTAAGTTCCCCCATCTCTAGTCCCAACATACACACACACACACAGATACAGATAGATACACACACACACACACACACACACACACACACACACACACACACACACACACACACACACGCTAGGAACTCCAGTCACACAAAACTTCCCTCTCACAATGCAACAACTACTTTCAACTTCTAAGCTTTTGCTTAAGTAGTTCTGTCTACCCTAGATGTTCTTCCCTTTGCTTGATCAAAAATTCCATACATCTAGTCTCTCCTTGACAGCCTCCATCAGGGGCTAGATCCTGAGTGAGCTATTGACCTTCTTTGACCCTCCGTTTTCTCATCTATAACAAGGGGGAAGCCACAGTCTTTGGCTTACAGGGATGACTGACTCTTAGATAGGATAATAAAATAAGCTGGGTGGCTCATGCCAATAATCCTAGCTAGCCATGAGGCTGAGATCTGAAGACTGCAGTTTGAAGTGAGCCTGGATAGCAAAGTCTGTGACTCTTATTTCCAACTAAGAGCGCACACACACACACACACACACACACACACACACACACACACACACACACAGCCAGAAGCAGAGCTGGCTCAAGTGGTAGAGCACTAGCTTTGAGCAGGGACAGCACCCAGGCCAAGTTCAAGCCCCAGAAGTGGCTGGCACGCACGCACACACACATGCATGCAACACATACACACACACACACACACACACAAAGTAATAAATGAGATAATAAGAAACATGCTCAGCCAAGGGTTAAGGGTCAGGCCCAGAGCAGCTGCTCTCACACTTCGATTCCCCTGGTCCATGCACTGCCAATGCCTTTCTTCAATAAAAATGTTCTTGTTTTCACCCACTGCCCAAAACCAAGCAGCTGTCTCTTATCAGTCAGAGGACCTGTCATCCATACCTGCCTCCCCAGGACCTGGTATGGAGGTGGCGCCTTGCCTCACTGTGCTACTAAGTCTCCTCCTGCGTCTGTCTCCCTTATCTCTCATCTCCCATGCTGGGGGCTCCTTCTCTCCAGTGCTTCTGGGCACATGACGCGCCTTCTTTGAGGCATGTGGTCTCTGGTGCCCACACCTTCCCTCAGAAACCAGCCCCCAGGAACCATCACACAGGACTCAGCCCACAAAGCCAAGAATGGAGGCCACATTCCTCATCACCACAGGAAACTAGGCCTTAGAGGGGAGCTCCCAGCGGCCTCTGGGCAAATAGAGGCTTGTATCCACAGCCCTGTTTCGGTTTTGGTTATTTTCAGCCCTGTGGTGGGTAATGACTGCACGATTTTAACTTTGCAATTTTACAGATGACCTGCTGCTGGAGTTAGCTGGGGACAGGCCATATGCCCAGTGGAACTTCAGCTGAGACCATGTGCTCTTTCCTCATTAAGGCCCCACTCAGAAGTTAGGACCAACAGTGTCCTGGGTCCCTCCACTGCCTTGGAAGACTCAGAACATGCCTGGAGCATGGAGCTGCAGCTAAACCCCTGGGCCACGGATGCCCGGCATCCTGGCCTTGCTCCCCAGCCTGGAGGGCAATGGCCTAAAAGCCACACAGACAAGTTAGGAGTGGACTCATTGCCCTGAGGAGAGAGTGTGGTGCCTCTGCAGACACTCTGAGAAGTGAGTCAGCCCTTCAGGTCTATCTTCCGGAAAAGTTAGAGGATGTGGGAAGTACTAGGCAGATTTCAAAAGTCAAAGTCATAGGGACTGTTATCAAAGCAAACAATTTAAAGTGATTATAGTTTCCTAAGTACCTCTTTATACTATAAGAAGCTCTGAAGCAGGAGGTGGGGTTCAGTCACTGAACCTCCCCATCCATGCCTCAGTTTCCTCAGTTTGAAATAGTGACAACTGGGGGGGGCAGAAGAGTGAGGGGATAGTGACTAAATGAGATGAATCTGATCAAGGTACACGGTATGCATATGTGGGCATATCAAAATGATACAACTAAATGACACTAATAAAACATAAGGAAACAAAAAAGGTGATAATAATAGCATCCCCCCCCCCAAATGGAGTTGTTCTGAAGATAAAGTAAGTTTACACCTGACCCTGCTTGGTGCTTACCAAGAACCACTTAAAGATGAGCCATTGTCACCATCAAGGTCAAGTGCAATGAGCTTTTTAGAGTACACAAGGCAATTATGACACTTTAAGAAGCCAAGGAGGGGCTGGGAAGGTGGCTCAGTGGTACAGTGCTTGCCTTGCATGCTTGAGGCCCTGGGTTCCATTCCTTAGCACCACATAAGCAGAAAAGGCTGGAAGTGGCGCTGTGGCTCCAGTGGTAGAGCGCTAGCCTTGAGCTGAAGAGCTGAGGAACAGCGCCCAGGCCCAGAGTTCAGACCCCATGACCGACTAAAAAAGAAGCCAAGGACATGTGGCATTCCCACTGCAGAGAGCTCAGGAGTGTGAGAGATGCAGGCTCCTAGCTAACAGCACTGGCTCTTGAACGCTGTACTTCTCCTAGAGGCTGCCAAGCCCCTTATGGTACAAAACAGGACTCATGCCTCCTATCCCACCAAAAGGAGCATCTGACTCCTTCAAACATCACTCCCAGAGTCCTCGCTTCTGACTAACTGTCCCCAGGTTTGCTGCTCCCTCCTGTGTCTTTAAAGTCACCTTCTCAGGGAAGTGGTACTTCCAGGGCCGCACTGCATATACTCCTCATATCCAACTGACTGCCAGCGCCTCCAGTCTGTGGACTCCTTCCCCAGCAGTCATCCCAGCCATGACTGCACATCACAGCCCCGCAAAGGGCCAGCCCAAGCAGGGGGCATATTCCACATTGGTTCTCCAAGCTCCGCCATGGGCTTAAAGCCCAGCAGCTCTAGTGGTCCTTTGCTTTATAATGTCCACTTTGGGATTCCCTTCCCCGCTCACTTGTCCTCATGTTCTCTTCCCAAACGAATAACTAGAAGACTAGTTATTCAGACTCTGTGTCTCCTGCAGGAAGAACCCAGACAAGGACACCAGTCACTGCATTTTTATCTCTGGCATCCTGTCAGCCTCTGCTTGTCTGTGGCCTTGTCTGCTCTGCCCCTCTTTACCAGAGCACTGTCAGAAGACAACTAGGTTCTCAGGAGTCCCCACACCTGTGTATCAGTAGCAGACACACAGTCAGTGCTCAACAAACAATGGCTGGGTGGCTAGCTGGGTCTGTAATATTTACACTATTGTGAGTAAAAACGATTAGATTCTTGTGCCATCACCTCCCACCAGGAACTCAGTCTACTGGAGCTGGCACCTCCTATTTCTTTATCCTTTCTCTCTGGGCTCTTTGGCAAGTTGGCACAACCTACCAAAAAAAAAAAAAGCTCAAGGGACAGAGTGGTCCCTTTGGAAAGAAGGGTACTGAGGGGCCAGGGTAAGGCACCCTTCCAGGCAGCTGGGAGAAAGGAAAATCCCTAGCTAGAGACTGAAATAAAATATTTATGTTTCCCAAGATACAGGAAACTGGTATGTGAGAAGGGAAGATAGCCCCCTTGGGAGGTCAGCACAACTGGGAGACAAGGGGGTAAGAGGCTTAGAGCCAGCCTGATGTGCTGGTTTTGCTGTGTAACCTCAGGCAAACTGCAACCCTTCTCTGGGCATTAATTTCTCTACACTTGAATCAAAGACCTGATTAACCCCAGGTGAAGATATAAGAGGGAGGGGAGGTCACTGCAGACAGCAGAGATCAAATCAAACCTTAAGTCCATCGGCTTCACATTGTCTTCAAAATTTAGCCACAGACTCCAATCTTGAAGGCTAGGCCCAAGATGAGTAGACCACACCCCAAGGCCATCCACCATCTCTAACCTGTGGTCACAGTGGTCCCCAGATACTGCCAGCTTAACAAGGGCTGGTGTCAGCTCTGAGACCTTCCCTTTCCCAAAGCCGCAGTCCACTAAAGACCCAGAGCTGGGGATAGAGACCCAGGGAAGACTCTACTTCCCAATTCCCTTATCTCTAAAATGGATCTGACTGATAAGAACTCAGGCTTGGTCACCTCCCTTGATCATAATCTATAACAGAAGCTGAAATACTTCTTAAAGCAGTAACCAGAACAGGAAGTACCACTTATACTTTTCCTCTAGGCCAGGCACACCTACTTTGGCAGTCTGAGGCAAATACTACTCTTATTTGCAATTTGCAGATAGTAAAACTGATTTAATAACAGTAATAGGTGAAGTCTGAGTATAGAAGGCACAAGTATTGGGGGGAGGGGTGAAAGAAGAGGGGCACCCCTGCTTCCCTCCAAGGTGTAGAAAGGCTCTGAGCTCCCCCAAGCCTGGCCCACCTCAGTAAAAATCACACAGGCAGGAGAAAGGTGAAGGGAAGGAAAACACTGATCCGGAGGGAGCATTATTACCAATAATCTTCTTTACACTCCTGTCCAGGTAAGAAACTGGGGGTTATTGAGAACAAGTGACTCACCCTCAACTGGAGCAGACAAGAGAAACTCTGTCCAGCATTCAGAGTGGCTTCCTCTCCCCTCCCCAGATCCAGCGGTAGATCTAGGCATCCACCCCTTCAGAACCACTTCCCTGGGGCACCCCTCCCCACTTGCCTGCTGTTCCTCAGCCCCACAGAGCTCCCCCATGGAAGAGAGGGTGAGCCCTCAGAATCCTGGTCACATCCCTAGGAGTTTATAAAGAACTATTTTGGAAGCTGGTACAGGCCAGCCTGATCCAGAGGGCCTCTGGCCCCACCCCCAGCTGCAGGCCCTAGCCACAACCACCATGCCAGTCTGCGCTAGGAGGGGCCCACAGCTGGAACTGCAGAGGAGGGGCAGGGCGGGCTCCTTAAGCCCAGACACGCTGGCAACGTGCGCAACCAGGGAACCTCGGGCTCCCTTGGCAGAGCCCTAGAAGGCCAGGAGGGAATAGGGGTGGGAAGGGCTGGGCGGTTTCCGGATCCCCAGGTGTGTGGCAGGTGGGAGGAAGGTGGGGGTGGGAGCCCTGAAGTTGGGCTCCAACTTCAGCCAGAAAGGCCCGAGTGGCTCCTGCAAAAGCAGGGGCCTGGGCTTGGTTTCTCAGGCCTCGGGGGAAGGTGGCAGGTGACAGCGGCAGGTGAAGGCAACCTGGAAGTAACCTGAGAAGGAGGGAGGCAGGAGGGGCCCCGGGGAAAGGCTCGTCGGCCGCCCAGACACCCCCAGGAGAGGTGGCGGCGAGTGTGTCGTTTGCTCCGGCACCCAGGGACTTCCGAATCCTCCCCCCCACCCGCCACCCCCCGGGGAAGGTGCGAGAGAATACAGGTTTCAAAAGCAGCCTGGAGGTCAGCCGGCCACCTGGACGCGGCCGGAGTAGAGGATGCCGGGGTCTCGATCGCCAGCGGTCGGGACGCTCCGGAGACACCCAGGCCGGGCCTCGCTCCCCAAAGTAGGTACCGAGACCCCGGAGGCACCGCCGCAGGTCGGCCTGGAGTGGGGAGACGAGGGGAGCCCGTGGCTGCTGCGCCGTGGGGGCCCCGGGGTGCAGCGATGGGCGCCTTCCTCAGCCCTGCGTCCGCCGCGGCGGCCACCACCCCCACCCCGGACGCGGACGCTGCCGGACCAGCAGGGTAGGGAGGTGTCGGGGGGTCCCCGAAGTCCGAGCACCCCACCTGCACCCCCGCCGCCGCCCCTGGAGACCCCGAGCTCGGCCCCCTCCCCTCCCCCGCCCCCTCCCCGCTGAACCGCGCGCACCCGGGAAGTGAGGGCACAACTTGACCCCAGGCGACCCCAAGTCCCAGGGCCCCGCCGGGCCGCGACCGGGTCAGGCCCCGCCTCTCCGCCAACTTGGCCCAACTCCGCGCCCGCAAGAGGCCCCGCGCCACCCGGGCCCGGCCCGCCCCGGCCCGGCCCGGAGGACGCGCACACACTCACTGCGGTGTCGGCCGCCGCCCCCCCAGTTCGGCTTGGCCAGGCTGGGGCTCCGGATCAGCGCCCGTCCCGCCGACTTGAGCGCGTCCATGGCCCGCTCCGGCCGCCGCCGCCGCCGCCGCCACAACTCCGTCAGGAAAACTTTCCGCCCGGCCAGGAGGCGCGCGGGCGGCGCACTCCTCCCGCCCTCCCGGGAGCCTGCTCCGCGGCTACGTTCGGGGCGGGGCGATGGTCTGGCCACGCCCTGTCCACGCCCACTCTCGAGCGACACGCCCCGGGCCGGATTTGGCCCCGCCCCTGCCTGGCTCTGCCGGCGGTCCGCATGCTCCGCGCTCCCAGGTAAAGCTCAAGTGCTGGCTTCTAGACCCCGACGCCCCCCCTTTCTCTCTTCTCCATTGCCCACGGGCCCAGCCGAGAACTGCCGTCCCCTCCGCGGGAGGCCAGGGCCTAGGATTCTTCACATCCCCTCTGGAAGCTGCTTGGCAGACTAAATAGGAGACCTTTCAGGAATACAAAGAAAGAAGCTGGGAATGGTGGTGCGTGCACTAGAGAGGTCGAGACATTAGGATCAAGACATTAGGATCTGCTTCACAGTGTGACCCTGTCTCCAAAACTGAACAACAAAAATAAAACAAGAAAAGAATAAGAGGAAGCAGATGTCCTGGGCCCAGGAAGCTTCCAGAGGAAGAACAAGGGCTGGGGCTGGAGCGTCAGCACGTGTGCCCTCATTACTGTGCACCTCAGCGACCTCCGACCTCCGTGCATCGCGGGACCTCCTGGGCTGTCCCCCTGCAGCTCGGGTCACAGCCACCGTGGCTGACATGTGAGAAGACACCTGTGACCCTGGGCAGATCCTCTTCTCCCTGGGTCTCATTCTTATCTGTAAAATGAAAAGCGATCCTTTCTCCAGTGACCCTTCCAACTTGCTAAGTGTGTGTAACCTTGACCCAGACCCTCTCTTGCCTCCTGGAAGCAATCTCAGAATTTTAGAATTCAGACTTTAGAGCCAGGGCTCAGGTGGCTCGTGCATATAATTCTAGCTACTTAGAAGGCTGAGATCTGAGAATCACAGTTCAAAGCCATCTTGGGCAGAAAAACCTAAGAGACTCTTGATCTCCAGTTAACCAGCAAAAAAGCTGGAAGTGGAGATGTGGCTGGAGTAGTAGAGCACCAGCCTGGAACATAAAGAGCTGAGTGAGAGAGTGAGGCTTTGAATTAAGCCCCCATATCTCAGCACACAAAAAAGTAGGACTGGAGGCGTGGCTCAAGTAATAGAGCACCAGCCATGAGCAAGCAAACCCAGTGAGCATGAAGTCCTAATGTCAAACCAAGCTTCCTAATAAAGAATATATATTGAGCCAGGTACTGGTGGCTCACACCTGTACTCTGTAATCTCAGGAGGCTGAGATCTGAGACTCTTATTACCAATTAACCATCAAAAAGCCCAAAATGGATCAGTGGCTCAAGTGAAAATGCTTCGGCTAGAACAAAAAAGTTAAAGGACAGTGCCCAGGCCCTGAGTTCAAGCCCCAGTACTGGCACAAAGGAAAAAAATTGCGATAGGAGTCCAAGACAGAGTGCCCACCATCATCCAGCCTCTGCTTGCCCCTTTCAGAGAGGGTGTCTCAGTAATGTGCAAGAAGCTCTGTCTCCAATTACTCTGGGCTCAGAAGCCCACAGCCAATACTGCTGGAAAAGAAACAGGGCTGGGTTAGCTCAGTAGCAAAGAATACCCGGCTGACATTCCACCCTTAGCACCTTTCTAAGTCTTCTGTCCTTCCCTGGGAAGATAATGCAGCCAGCTATCCTGGAGGACTAACCTTTACAGTTGCCTCCTCCAGGAAGCCTTCTTATACTACATGGATCAGGTTTCTCCTAACACAGTCTCCATCTTGCAGTATTGCAGGTTCCACAGCCTGTTTCTTCTCTTCTCTCCTCCTTCAAGGACAGAAAGACTTTCTGATTCATTTCCAAGTCCCAGACACTTAGCAAGGGGGCCAAATGGAGCTAGAAAGGCTGTCAGTATTCCTTTCCCCCCTTGCTCCTGTCTCTGGTCTTTCACTTTTTCCCTCAAAGGCAGTGAATAAGGAGGTCACAAGACTGAGCCCCAACTCGCTTATCCCAGAACAGCGAGGCCCTAGAACGGTGGAGGGCACTTTCTGGCGCCTGGAGGTAGAGGAGTCACCGGTCTGCTGGTGAAGGCACCATATGTGCTCAGGAGGGGGCAGGCCTGGGAAACGCTGTGTGCAGCCTGTCCCCTCCCCTCCCGGAGGTGCCTTGCTGGGAGCTGTCAGCCATGTGTCCCCTGCAGAGGGGCAGCCTGCTAGTGCCCCTTCTGCTGCTCCCAGACACAAGCAGAAGCAGAAGGTCAGAGCTGCGAGGGGCCTCTTCTGTGGTCGCTGGCCAAATCCTCATTTCACAGGTGAGAAGTCTGAGGCCCAGAGAAGGGCAGGGACTTGCCCAAGGTCACACAGCAAGCCAGGACCAGAAGCCACCTGGGGTGTTTACAGCCAAAGGGAACAAGGAAACCTTGAAAGAACACAGGGTGCAAAGATGAGGTTTTGGGGTAATTTTTTTTCTATTTTAATTTTTTTCCTTTTTTGTCAGTTGTGGGGCTTGAACTCTGGGCTTGGGCACTGTCCCTCAGCAATTCAGCTCAAGGCAAGCGCTCTACCACTTGAGCCACAGCGCCACTTCCAGTTTTCTGGTAGTTTATTGGGGATAAGAGTCTCACAGACTTTTCCTGCCCGGGATGGCCTTGAACTGCAATCCTCAGATCTCAGCCTCCTGAGTAGCTAGGATTACAGGTGTGGGCCACCGGCACCCAGCAACCTGCACCCAGCTAATTTTTTTTCTTATCTTACCTAAGTGTGCAAACATTGTGACGTTGATCACCATTGCTTTAGTAACTGGAGGCCCAGGTTGGGAAGCCCTGGTTCCTTCTTGGTGCCCTGCTCTTCCATGCATGCCAGTCCAGCACTTCCCCTCCCTCATCACCTCATGGTCTTAGATCAGCTGTTTAATGCCACCGGCCTGGCCTAGTGGCTCATACCTGTAATCCTAGCTACACAGATGGCTGAGATCTGAGAACTGAGGTTCGATGCCAGACTGGACAGGAAAGTCCATCTTCAATTAAGCAGCAAAAAGCCAGCAGTGAAGCTGTGGCTCAAGTGGTAGAAGGCTGGCCTTGAGCACAAAAGCTCAGGAATGGCTTCCATACCCTGAGTTCAAGCCCCAGGACCAGCATAAATAAATAAATAATCCATGAGCCTTAGTTTCCTCAAAAATACACAACTGATGCAATGGGCTGAGTGTTTATATCCTTAGAAGCTCACATGTTGAAATCTTAACCCCAAGGTGACGGCACTGGAGCCTTTGGGAGGTGACTGTTGTCAACGCAGAGGCCTGGTGAGAGGAGGGGTGAGAGGAAGCCCGAGAGGGCCCTGAGAGGGGAGAGGGAGGGCACGCCATGAACCCGGAAGCAGCCCGCACCTCGCACAGGACCGACTGGCACCTTGACTTTGGACTTCCAGCCTCCAGAGAAGGCGATGGTCAGGGGCTGGGAATATGGCTCAGTGGTAGACTGCTTGCCTAGCATGCATGAAGCCCTGGGTTCAATTCCTCAGCACCATATACACAGAAAAAGCCAGAAGTGGTGTTGTGCTAGCCTTGAGCAAAAGAAGCTCACAGACAGTGCCCAGGCCCTGAGTTCAAGCCCCAGGTCTGGGAAAAAAAAAAAGACGTGGCTGTTATTTAAAAGCCACCCAGTCAGTATCTTGCTATAGCACTGTCATGGACAGAGGAGACTGACTGGGGACTGAGAAGAGAATTGACGGGCTGGGTGTGATGGCTTAGTTACTTGGGAGGCAGAGACAGGAGGATCAAGGTTCTAGATTGGCCTGGGCAAAAATAGAAGATTATTTTTTGTGTGTATATGTGCTGGTCCTGGGTTTGAACTCAGGGCCTAGGTGCTGTCCCTGACCTTCTGTGCTCAAGCACAGTGCTCTACCACTTTGAGCTATAGCTTTTGGGGCAGTTAATTAGAGATAAGAGTCACAGGGACTTTGCTGCCTGGGCTGGCTTGGAACCACCATCCTCAGATCTCAGCCTCTTGAGTAGCAAGGATTACAGATGTGAGCCACTAGCACCTGGCTGAGACTCTGGTTTTTTGTTTTGTTTTGTTTTATTGCTAAAAAATAAAAAGTGAGGGGAGCCAGGAGCCAGTGGCTCACACCTGTAATCCTAGTTACTCAGGAGGCTGAGATCTGAGGATTGCAGCTCAAGGCCAGCCTGGGCAGGAAAGAAACCCGGAAGTGGTGCTGTGGCTCAAGTGGTAGAGTGCTCACCTGTAGCTGAAGAACTGAGGGATAGTGTCCAGGCCTAGAATTCAAGCCTCACAACCAACCTAAAAAAGTGAGGGTAGAGTCCTGAAAATGTGGCTCCAGTGTTAGATTTAAAGCATGTGGCCCAGGGGAAGATGGGAAGGGATGGGAAGGGCAAACAAAGGAGGAGGCAAAAATGCTTGATAAGAAATGTACCCATTACCTTGCTCATGTAACTGTAACCCCTCTCTACAGTGTTTTCACAATAAAAAAAAAAAAAGCATGTGGCCCTGAGTTCAAACCTTGGTACTGAAAAAAAAAGGCTCAATATAGATGGCTCATGACTGTAATCTTAGCTACTTGGGGGGCTACGAATAGGTGGAGAGGGTTCAAGGCCAGCCTAAGCACAGAACTTTAAGAAACACCCTTTTCTGGGGCTGGGAGGTGGCTCAGTGGTAGAGTGCTTGCCTTGCATGCAGGGGCCCTGGGTTTGATTCCTCAGTGCCACATAAGCAGAAAAAGCCAGAAGTGGTGCTGTGGCTCAAGTGGTAGAGCGCTAGCCTTGAGCTGAAGAGCTGAGGGACAGCACCCAGGCCCAGAGTTCAAGCCCCATGACCAACCAAAAAAAAAAAAAAACCCTTTTCTACCCATAGCTGGGCTCAGTGACACATGCCAGTCATTCTCAGCTATGTGAGAGGCTGAGATTAGGAAGATTGTAGTCTAGGCCAGCCAGGGCAGAAAAGTCCACAAGACTCCATCTCTGCTGAGGCAAGCTGGATGTAGGGTTGTGCACATGCCTGTAATCCCAGCAACCATGGAGCTCCTTAGGTATGTGTCACAATACG